GGGGCTTAAAGTACAAACTCACCAGGCCAAAGAGCATCTCATAAAGCACTGAACCCAGACACCACCAGTCTACCGTGTTGTCATACGGCTGTTTTCTCAGGACCTCTGGAGCCAAGTACTGGTCGAAGAAGCACACAAGCAATTTAACATGAACTCTGACATTTCACTTCTGCTTTAAAATACATTTTAAAGTATATCAGCTACTATTTTTGTAGAAGTCTACTTTCAATTATGGAAAAGTGATTGTCCCACACCAACAAAGTTGGAATACACTCATACTTGTTAAATGATTAACCACATTTTATTCCAAAGGCAGTTAGTGATTATTATTTTTGACACTGAAGGTGAGACTTCTTTGGAACAGCCTGGTGCAAAACTGGTAGTAAGCAGATGAGGAAATACTCATACCTCAGGTGTTCCACAAAATGTATTGGTGGTATCTGTCCGGGAAATGCCTTCCTTGCACAATCCAAAGTCCGTCAAGACGATATGCCCCTTTAAAGAGAGGACACAGGCACATTTTTAGGCAACATGTACCACACAAGCAGCTCATTATCCCCAGGAAATGAAGGTACTATTGTTGCCCAGGAATGTTGGCTACCATGCAGCTCAGATAGTCCCACTGCTCTCTCACTTTCTCAATAAGGCCAAGCAGGAAAATCATTAGTATAACCTAATCCAGTCACAGGCACTCTGTCCAGCTGGAACTGGAAATTACAGTGTTGTTCACTGATGCTACAAATAAAACTGGAAAAGAATGCTGTATGTTCTGGTTATATGTAATAAAACAGCAGCACTATAGTTCCATCCACTTAAATGAGTATTGTAATCTCACTTTGATATCTAACTTGATCAAAATGGGCGCTGCATATTTACTATAATTATTGTTATAGTGATTACATGTCAGTTACACAGCAGTGTATTTGGTTAAACAGGAATACTCACTTCATAGTCAAGGAGGATGTTCTCTGGTTTCAGGTCTCTAGACAAAACAAATTCATATCAATGAAATCCAGTTACAGGACTTGGAAGCACCGCTGCAACCCTAGATTCCTGAGAAATGTTTGATGAACTGCCACAAAAACTATGTTTAATTTTCTTAATGTTTTTGTATCATATATATTTTCATTTAAATAT